AAAATAATCATGTGAAAAAAGCATTTTTGCAGGATTTTTTTTTTTTTTTTTTAATTTGCCAGAAGGTGACTACACTCGCTGGAGAGAGACAGAGAGAGCAAGGGAGACTGTGAAAGCCCTCCGCATGGGGAATGGTCACGAAGCAATACCTTCTCCTCCAGCTCTCCCTCCTTCTGAAAACGTGGAGACACTGGCACCTGGCATCTTTCTCATGCTGCCGAATCTGGGACTCAAACTGCACAGCCGGCCATGTGGAACCCAGTTCCTTAACCACCATGCCACCAACTAGTCCACAGATAGAATCAAGTTAAGGATCTCCTGATGATTTCATCCTGGATTATCCTGGGCCCCAAATGTGCTGTTTCTGAGAGACAAAAGATAAAAAGACACAGGTAGACAGAGGAGCAAGCCATGTGAAGACAGAGATGGAAGTGATGCAGCCACAGGAGTGTCTACAGCCACTGGAAGCTGAGGACGCAAGGAAGGAGCCTTCCCTGGAGTTCCAGAGAGACGGAGGCCCTGCTATTGAAGGCCTCAGGAACTGCGAGAAAATAAATTTCTGGTTTTTAAGTCACAAAATGTGTGCTCATTTGTTATGCAAGCCACAGGAAACTCACAGCGTCACTCCAGGAACTAAAATTCCAAGTAGTTACTCCTTTCCTTTCTTTTCTTCTTTTTTAGTTTTGCTATAGGGCACATACACTCAATAGAGAGAAAGAGACAGAAAGAGAGGGAAAATGAAAAATCATCCCCCAAGGGGAATGGCCACACTGTAATCCCTTCTCTTCCCTTCTCCTCTTTGGATTTTGGGCATGCACATATGCACGCCTAGCTTGTTTTATTTATGTTTTAAAATAATTATTTCATTTAATTTTATTTATTCATTTACTTATTTTAATTTGACCAGACAGGGACAGAGAGAGAGAGAGAAAGTGCGAAGGCAAGCTGCCAGGTCCGGGATCTGAACCGTGGTCAGCTATGTGGGAGTCTAGTGCCCTTAACCACTATGCCACCTGCCGGCCCCATGTCTAACTTGTTTTTCAAACCACTGGGGTCCAGGACTCGAACTACGTGGTTGGCCATGTGAGATCCAACACCTTAGCCTCCACACCACCTGCTGGCCCAGGTTACTCCCTTTCTGTGGCTCCTCTCTCACCTCAGCCCTCCTGCTCCTCCCACACTTCCCTGGCATTTTCTCTAAGTGGAAGCAATTTCCTCCCATGTGAGTGGCACAGAAGCCAAATGAACCAGCCCGCCCAGCACTCGATCACTCTCCCGGTGCTCGGGAAGGAGGTGGCCTTGGAAAGCACGGATTTTCAGGAGAAGCCCTGACCCTTATGAAGGTAGTGAGGTTGCCACTTATGGGGAGGGAGAGGGGTTCTCCTGCACATCCAGCCAGTGCAGCCGGAAGGGGAACTTTCTCAGGCCCCAGGGACTGTGCTGGCCCATGGGGAGGAGAGGGCCATATTTGGTATGACCCACAGAAAGCCATACGGTTTTTGCTGCAAAGAGAAAGGAGTGAGGTTCCCGGGGTTTTTATTTTGTTTCCACCTTGAAACGGGCAGCACGTTTGATATGATTGAGGGGGATTTCCACCAACCAAGCTGAAGACAATTCCGTTTTAGTGCAGACTGCAAGGAGGGAGGTGAAGTTTTGGAAACTTTGCTCTTTATAAGACACTCTTACTGGCACAAAGACGACGACTTTTTCCCTCAGTCCTAAACAAGCCAGGCCCCTGCCATCCTCCACACTGGCAGTCCATTTCCACTCAGACCTCTGACAGGGCCCTTCTCACCCACCATCCTCCTTGCCTTGGGGTTCCTCCCCTCCAACAGTTGTCTGGGAACCATGTTTGTCCCCTGGGAGTGATTGAAGCAGCCCTCTGGGCAGAAAGAGCTTTTCTAAGGTCCTCAGTTAAGGGAACATTTGTCCCAAGCCTCACTATCAGACCCACAGAAGCAGCTGGCCTCAGAGAGGGAGGGAACTGCTCTCTAAACAAAAATGGTTTTGAAAATAAGCCAGCCAAAGGGGAATTGCTTCATAAGTTGCACATTCACTTCTCCCTTTAACTCTGCAATTGAAGAAAAACAAGGTGAAGCAGGAACTGACCCCTCACCCACCCTATTCCCATCCCCATGAACTCTCCCCACAACAACAGGTTGGCAAAAAAAAAAAAAAACCAAACCAACAAACAAAAAAAAAACCAAAAAAACAAAATATCTCACTGGGTCTGGAGGTCAGATTACTGGTGGATTACCTGGGTCCAGTAAGCCTCCCAGGGGCTGGTCCCTTACTTACCTGCTTGCCTTGTTCTTGTGCCTGCCCCCAAGGGGTCGGAACTGACCCCTCACCCACCCTATTCCCACCCCCATGAACCCCCCCCCAAAAAAAAGGTTGGAAAAAAAAAAAAAAACCAAACCAACAAACAAAAAAAAAAACAAAAAAACAAAATATCTCACTGGGTCTGGAGGTCAGATTACTGGTGGATTACCTGGGTCCAGTAAGCCTCCCAGGGGCTGGTCCCTTACTTACCTGCTTGCCTTGTTCTTGTGCCTGCCCCCAAGGGGTCCCAGAAAACGCTCATTAAACACTGAATATCAAGAGAAGGGATGGAGCCCACAGCAGAGGGCACAGGGTTGCTGCATGCGCCCTTCCTTGGCACAGACTCAGGCTGCAGTGCTGCTGGCGGGGACGGAGCAGCCTGGCCAGCAGTACTTCTGGGGCACTCCCCCTAATTCCAGAAACATCTGTGTCTGCAGTGTGGCCAGTGCTCTGTCTGAGCACACAGAGCATAGGGGACGGAGGGAGGGGCTCACAGGAGGTAAGCCTGATGTCTTTGGAGCAGGCAACTGTTTTTTTTTTGGAGAGGTTTTGCTGTAGGGCGTGTGTGCTCACTGGACAGACAGACAGAGACAGAGAGACAGAAAGCGAGAAATCACCCGCCAGGAGGGGGGATGGCCACGCCGCAACCCCTTCTCCTCCATTTTCTCCTTGGGATCTTGGGCATGCACGCACACGGGCCCGGCATGAGTTTTAAGCCACCGGGTCCGGGACTTGAACCGCAATCAACTACATGGGAGTCCAGTGACATAGCCATTACACTAACTGCTGGTCTCAGGCTACTGGTTTTTAAAGACACTCTCCAGCCACATCCCACTCTTCCCCCCACACACCTCTCAAATCAAACCAGGAGGCCACAGAAGACTAAGGGCTTGGCGCTTTCTGATCCAAAGACTACAGAGGCAGACATTTCTATTTCTATCTTTTGCGCTTGACAGCAGCCTCATAAAGCAGAAGAATCTTCATCTTCACCGCGGTGTCACTCAAATCCACACGTCTGCCCATCCCCGGGGGAGAAGACCACCACAAAGCCCTCTGTACTCAGCAAGCAGCAGCATCTCAGGGATTGCTGGTGAGCTGCTTGTGAAAGGTTTGGGTGGGTGGGTCATTTAACTATCTGAGCCTTAGTTTCCTCAACTCTAAAACTGATGCCCTACTATGTGACTGAAAAAAAAAAAAAAAAGATAACTTCTTTGGCGAGGGGGAAGGGTGCACGT